AGCACAGAGAAGCAGTCAGAGCTACAGGCTACAGTGAGGCTAAAAACAGAGTTCATATGACGTTTTTCAAAACAACTTTTTATGTCGCGGTTGCAGCACACTTGGATCACTACGGATGAGCAGTATGGAGATACTTTGTGGATTCAATTTTGTGTTCTTGGACGTTAGTCTGGGGCGCCGTCTACCATTAGGTATGCTAGCCGCTCCACCTGCCGATCTCCGCAAGGGATGTGAGCACTCTAAAATTTCACCAGGGCCTCCATCGGCATATGGGTGAGTAGATAATGGCTGAATTTTCATTTTTGGGTGCACTATCCCTTTAACGTCTTCTGTTTTCCAGTATCCTTTTGAAACCATGTTACCACCATTCAATATTCATTTAAATTTTTTGCAACTGTTTGCATTGTTAATTGTGAACATACTACACACTCAAAACCTGCTTAATATGTAACTATGGAACTGGGACACAGCAAACGTTTACATCCAAAGGGAAAACACAGGCAACCTATGTCAAATGCTTTAGACTTAACGTTTCTAGTCTGCTGAGGCAAATGTTAAAATCCAAATCGCACTTGCCTTGTTCAAACATTATTTGTCAATATCAATCAATATGAATATCTTTCACACATTGCACTTATGCTATGGAGAAGCCTAATTTGTATTTATAGATTAAAAGCCTCTCTAGAAGGTTTCAAATTGTCATAGGTGTCACATTTCACAGCTCAGTATTCATCAGTGGTCTTCATCAAGCTTCAAACAAATAAGCACTGATGGAGTCACACAGACAAAGAGGGTACTCTGAAACAATCCCTGGTCAGTCAGAGGATGTTCTCTGACTTCAGCCAATCAGTCTGCAATGTCAGTTAATTCTTCAGGACATTCATGCATATGGAAAATCAGCAAATGCTGGGGCTGCAGACTCTTCCACCCGATTAGCCTATTCTATTTATTTTTTTCCTTACTAACCGTGTTAGTAATACAGGTGTTTGTAATACAGGTGTGAGTGGGTTTTTCTGTGTGCATGTGTACACACAAAACCCACTCACTCCCAACAATGGTACAATACATCTCACACACACACACACACACACACACACATACACACACACACACACACACACACACACACATTAAATTGCCCATGAGGATGGTTCCTTTCAGCCACTTTAACCAGCAAATGTAGTCAGAGAGCAGGAAGAGTTCCACTTCAAAAAACCTCAATACACACAAACACACACATCCACATCCACATTCATACATGCGTGCTGACACACACACTCCCACGGCTTCACCCACTCGCTGCCGAAGTTGATTACAGCAGGCTGTGACTCAGTGGGCGTGGGTCATGGATGGATGGCTTTGTGTTTTCAGTTGTTGTGACTCCAGAGAACCATAACAGCACAGTGAAGCAGCACCAAAACGTAAACTAAAGATAATGCTAATTGCTTTCACAACATGCCCTCCTTTAATCTGCAAGATGATTACATTTTGTAAAGTGAAAATGAAGTAGTATCGATTAGACCCCCCATTAGGTATGAAGAAGATTCAGGCTTGGTATTTTGGGGTATAACACTTTTAAATCCATTCATAAGGAATTAAATGGATACTAAATGAGTAAAATATTACTAACCAATAAAGACATTCATTTTTTAACAATTCTGCTTTTCCATCCTGCAAATCAAATCACTTTTTTCTTCATACCTGACAGACCATCGATTTATACTTAGGAATAATCCTTCCCTATCTAATGCTCCACCCAACAGCCTGTTTCATCAGGAATTATATCCCATTTAGGAAGTAAAGAGAGGATTTGATGAGACCTTTGATTGGCTGAAAAAGGTCCTCAAACATCCCACCAGCAGTTCTAAAGATCCAGATTGTTAAGAGACACTTGCAGTGCTTTGCAGAATATTCCAAATTTGTACTATTGCCTATTGCATGCCATATAATAACCTTCTTTTTAACATATTTATACAAACAAACACATTTTATCATGCCTTCTGGTTGGATAATTTACAGTTTACAGTATGGTATGTTCAGTTAAAAAACTATGTTAGCATGGCCATTCTGATGTCAAAACCGAGGCAGGACCTTCTTCTGGAGAATGTAGATAATAGTTGTTCATGCATTCACACTTTCACCAACAGAGTATTGTTAATAATACTTATCAAGTTCTCTGCCTAAACAGATGTCTGAAAATAAAGGTAGAGCAGTGTGCCTCATGTTTTATGTATAACCCACAACCTGGGACTGGGCCCTGCAAAGCCATTTGCATTTGCACCTGGACCAAAAGAGTACACATAAAGAGCATAGAACCCAGTGCTTGCATGAAGACATATGCTGTGTAGGAAAGTACTCCCTTTTTCATACATCCACTACTCTCTGCATAACAGATACATAATAGTTGACTCTAGAGTTTCGTCACGTTGCGCAATTTTACACTCCTGACAGGTGTAGAGCCCAGCGAGGTAATTTCCGTATCTATAAAAATGCAATGCATTGCAATCTGGGATTGCTAACTGTGTACATGCCAAGAACATTACATTTTTCATTCTATTGAGTGTTTTTTTAACCTCCTTTTTAGTGGGGTAATGGCCAGTCTGAGAAATGAAAGAATAGGTATATGCAGGAAATATCACAACGCTGGTGCAAAGTCAATGGATGCACTTCAGTTAGCATGAAAAAAAAACCAACAACTGTTGTGTGTGTTTATACAAAGCAGCATGCTGTTTCTTATGGCCTCAGAGAAATTTCTAAGAGGCTTTGGCTCACTGACAAGGTAATCTGGGTTACTAACAACAAAAACCCACATTTCTTGTATTTACTTCATGAAAGGCTCCCAATTGACACTCTCCCTGTACTACACCAGAGACTATTGACTCATCTAAATAATCATTACCCCTGTCACAAACCAGCAATCCTTTCTTCCACACTCACTCTCTTGACTTTCACAACAACACACACAGACAAACTCTCAGATCTAATGGGAGTCACATAGCAAACTTTATCACACACTGCTGGGCACATCCCAATACATCATGGAAGAGGGTTTGTGCAGAGTGCCAAAGGTCAAATGTTGTACTTTAAAATGCTTTCAGCTCGCCTCAACTCGGGCTCAACTAACAACTATTACCCTGGTCAGCAGGCTCCCTGCTGAGTTACATTAGTTCTGTTGGCAATCCAGGAAAGCAATTACTGTAAGCCAACACTGAGAACATCAGCTTCTCCACACTTTTTGACACTGCCTGATGTACTGATAAAGAAGTGAATGGTAGAGAGTTGCACAACATACAAATGATTGGAGACTGCAAATGGGGAGGGATAGGGGGGAGAAGTTAAGAACCAATTATCCAGGGTGTCTATCTTGCAGAACCATCTTGATTTTCTGTTTTGCTTAGAGGAAGGCTGGCATTCAACCACTCCCATGGCAGCTCAGCGTCTATCATTGTGTATACAAAAACACTGGTAAGGCCTGGATAAAGTTTGACTTTAGTTACGGTTCATAACTAGAACTACTGCCTCATGTTTGTATGCCTCCACCAACCAGTCAAGTTGCAGTAAACATCCATGCCTGTCCAGACTTATAAACTGAAAACTTTGAAGGAATTAAATGAAAGGCAAAAAGTATACTTTTTCAGAGTTATCACAATATTGACATGTATGATTCCAGTAAATAATTTCCAGTGGGAAACATGCTGTCTTAACTTAGACTATTTTTACAGAGGAGCACAGAGGAGTGATAGAGAGCTCCAGTGCCATAACAATCACCTGAGGCCCAATGTAAGCAGAACCAATGAGCTTGTGGTGGACTACCAGAGGAGCAGGACTGAAAAGCCACACAGGCATGGCTTCAAATTTGAATGTTGAAAGATACAAACTCCAAAACACATATTTTTTAACCCAGGAGCACAGAAGATCTATACAATCAGCACACTTTCAATGTGGGCACCCAAGATTAGTGTCACCAAGTCAAAATCTGACCAAATGTCTCCCTTCTGTTCAGTTACAGGTAAAGTTATGACGTTAAATAATGACCAAAAAAGTGTTTTTGCAGAATATTATAATGCCATAGTGAAGTTGACCTTTGACATTCTGGATAAAAGAATATCATCATTTTATCCTATTAGACATTTGTGTAAAATTTTGTTGAGATTTGCGTGTAAATTCGTATGAATTTTGTGAGGCCACAGTGACCTTTAACAACCAAAATCAAATCATTTCATTTTAAAGTCCAAGTGGACGTTTGTGCCAAATTTAAAGAAAATTCACTCTCGGAGTTCTTGAGATATTGCATTCACAAGAATGGGACAGACAGATAGACAGACAACCCGAAAACATAATGCCTCTAGCCATAGCTGCCGCCGGCACGGAGGCATAAAAACACGCAAACAAAATCACACAAAGGCATGCAGATGTACACGCATACATACGTAATACTTTACACATAATATACACATCACCAAGGAGTTTAGAGTGCTATTTTAATTTACAAATTGTAAAGCCTGCTGTCTACTGTTGAGGAACATACTTAGTTGTGCATGAACAAGTATAAATTTTAAGAAGTGGCATATGCACCTGCTTCATGCGTACAGCTCTTGAAAATAACATCACAGCCATTCTCTCCTCAGAAAGGCTGCTATTTGCTCTTTGTCTTTAGCCCACTACATCAGATTAAAGCACTCTCAACTGAATATCACATAATCCTATCTACAAAAGCAGGTAGTGCGCACAGGGCATCACTGAAAGCTGCAGCAGGAAAAGTACCTTCTGCAGCAGCTGTGCGTCCTGTCCAAATACACTTTCTATGCAGGCTGCCAACAGAAGCTAAGGTATGAATATGATTATGGAGACTATAAGCACATCCGAGACACTATGGGGAGGCTACCCAAGTGAATCACCTGCATGTCAATGATTAAAGTCACTTTTTGCACTGAATTTATGACTGATGATAAAACAGAATTTAGGATTCAATCACCTTGAATATGTCAGTAAAACCTCACCTTGTCTCTCAGATGATGTTCTGCTGCATCAATGTTCAAAGGGTCATCAAAGTTCAACAGGTCCTGATGCAGAGGAAGAAAGAGAGAAGACATGAAGGGTTACAAGGTACAGAGAGAAAAGCCAAAAACAGCAAAGTTAAAGAACAGTGTGAACATAAGTCAAGAAACAAGTGATTGATCATGGCCAGAAGATCTCAAATGTTTGGTCGGCTTATTACAGAACTTTTCAGGGTTCAATACTTCTATCTGTGGGTCACATTTCTTTTCCAGATAAAAAAAAATAAGCTGCTGAGGGAGATAGTGCCCACTCAAGCACTATTTGCTGTCTGCAATGTCACCCTGAGTTCTGCAACTGCGACAAACAAAACATCTTAATTATGCTGTTGCCGTAGAGATGCCATGCACAACAAGCGAGGAAAGATGCAGAGAGATAAAACGGAGGATGGCCTGAGAGGTTGTTTCCTGATTAAGAGGTAAGATTCAGGGCATGACCACACATCAGTACAGATTACCATCACTATTATCATCATAGAAACAGTGCTGACCTCTGGGCAAGTGTGGATACTTTCAAAATGCAACCAATGACGAATTTACGAAAGCTCACAATCAGCAAAATAATTTGGACTACACTACACACTCTATCTATCTATCTATCTATCTATCTATCTATTGACACATTTTTCAGGAAAATCCTGCATAGTATATCTTTAAATCATCATGTTTGCATTCATATTCACAGAATTAAATTCCTTTCAGCCTTGGTACATTTTAATGAATGATTAAATAAACATCTTTCCCCGCCAGATCCCAAAATCGAATTAGTTATCTTCATTTTCTGAACCATTTGCAATGAATTACTGTTTGACCTGCAACAAGGGGACACCCAGAACCAGCTGGGGATGCATTTCCACAAGCATAATGTACAATCAATTTTTTCCCCCTATCATTTCAGAATGTTCTTCATATTGAGAAGTATAATTTCCCCCCAGTCAAAAATAATGGTTTTATTACAGCTGTAAAGAGAGACAAACAACAGCCTCAGTTCATCTGATCTGAGTTGGAACTCATGTCATTGCTGTAACCTACATACAGCAAGCAACTTGAAAAAACTTCAACAGTGTCAATGTATTTGTTCAAAAGCTGGACTGTGATTGTGTTCAATCATGCCTGTTAAAGGACAGAGATCTCTGGCCACAGCTTTTTCTTATTTAACTACAAATTTTAGGGAAAACTGTGTGTAAAAACATAACCATTCATTTTTCTAAAATCTGCACAGACTGCAAAACTATCAAATGCTCAAAAATGCTGGCCATTTACCCAGTCAGTGTGATAAGAATTCAAAATGTATTTGTGGGTAGATTAGTTTATAAAAACATGTCCATGTTAAAGAAGAAATAACAAGCAAAACTTACCGTAAACAAGGAGTTCAATCCCCAGACAACGTCCTAGAAAAATAACAATGAAAAATGTTAATGATCAAATAGTCACATTGCATCACAATGTAGATACAGATTACCTACCTATTCCAAAACAAAGCTTCTTAGTTCCTGCATGTCTGAGCGGTTTTACATTATGCAGAGACTTCTGTGCACCGTTATATAATTAAAGTTACATTACTTTCAATTACAATTACATTCAAATGCTGATCTTCTGAGAAATAAAAAAACACTGGTATTTGGTTACGTCTAATTTTTTTTACCGTCCTTTCACTCACCTTACAGGATGCAGGCCACCAGTAGCCCCATCAAATGTTTCCTTTATACTTATTTATGTGTACACAACCTTACAGTTAAAGAACTGAACCACAGCTAAATGAACAATAAAAACTCTCCTACCAGTCAAAAAAGTGAATACAACAGCAATCATCATTCTCAATGTACTATAATACTACATATATATCCACTTAATTATGCTTGATTGTAAAGTAACTTCCTGAAATGCAAATGCAAGCTTTATAACTTTCCGTCTCTACGATAGTAAGCATTACATACAGTAATTACATCATGCTGCAATGACCTTCACAAGGATTGCAGAATCTCTTCAACATTTCCTTTGAGACAAAGCAGTAGCACAGCAGAACAAAAGATTAAGTTCAAAATCATCAGTTCCTGAACCTCCCGTCAGCAGGAGCCATGGGACTCTTTCATGTATCACAGTACCATGCAGGATGCCACTCTACAGTTGGTCTGGCAGTAGCTACAGGCTGTAGGGTTTTGTGTATGGAAAAACAGCATCATAATGGCCTTTTTTCCCCCCCCATCGTTAACGACTTTTATTATCCCCAGCTTTCCATTTACAGGAATAATCAAGTGAAATCTAAGACCAGCAGTGAAATGGTGATGGGAAATAACAGAGTACTGGAAGACTTCACAAAAGACCAACTAATAAGGGATGTTTTATTTCACTGGGAGCTGCTGCAAATAACTTTTAGCTGGTCTGCCGATCAATTTCAAATTAATGCTTTCAGGGATTCCACTCAGTTATCTTTCAATCATTCCACACATGTATTTATTTCATTTACATAATGAGGCTTTGAGCCAGGCTGAACTAATCACAAAGAACAATTTATAGCTTTTTCTCTGTCTCCATCTCCTATGTACCATGAACAAGTAGGTTTAATTTCCAAACTCAAAAGAACCATTGTATCATTATTATTATGATTTATTTATTTATTTATTTATTTATCTATCTATCTCTAGTGAACTGAAACCAAACTTTCACCAGCTATTACTATTGCCAGCCTGTTATTAAAGGTGTCATTTCTAAAGGCTACGGTATACTTTTTTCAAAACTCAAATTGGTGTATTTTAAATGGTACTGAATTCAATGCAATCAGTGCTGGTACACTCACTGCAGCCAGAGGATTGTCCTTCTACAAAGGATGTAGTTTGGTGTTGCAGTGAAAGTGTAAGTGATTTTGTTACTGTCTGGTTTGAGAATCCTTTATTTTGTCTTTTTTTTTTTTAATCGCAATTGTCTTTTTTTGATAGCTTAGGGGTTTCTATTTGATTGTGTTGATCTTTTGTTGTTCTCTGTTGTTGTTGATGACATGCTCATACTGTATTCTGTTATGTTAGCTATGTTCTCTTATTTTCTATATGTTGTCTTTCATTGTGATGAACTCTGAGTTAATGTGTAATAAAAGTAAAATTACCATCGCAATTATCTGGTGTGAACACACAACATTCTAAAAACCTAACATAGATTCAGTATGTAGTGAAGATAGGACAAGACATTTGTGTTATTTATTTCACTGCAGGTACACTGGTAGCCTTTCAGAAGGCAAATGTTTGCCACTGCGGCAGTTGGAATTTTCCTGTATTCTGAATCAGCGGTCGGTGTTCACGGCTATCTCAAATCCTACCAGCCTGTACACCACAGGCTGCTGCTGTCCACCGAGTATAATCGCATCACGCCGCTTAGGAGAGCATATTGTAGATTTAAACAGAGAAAGTGGTCCCTGACTGGAAAATATGATTTTGATGGTGATGTTTCTCCAGTGCTGTTTCTCTAAATGATCTGTCTGTTTTCTGCAGGTGAAGAGGTGTTTAGGATTATTCAAGAAGCTGAGATACCAATACAATCAGCTATTGTATCATTTGCCTCTCTGTAGTTTCTATGGTTCCCGTGGTCACACAGCAAGCGAAGTTCAATTTTAACTATACAACACTGTCAACTTAACTGCCTGTTTCATATGTATATTTACAGCAGTTTAATTCAAAATTGATAGCACAGAAACAAGGAAAGAGAATCAGTCGAAATGAAATATTTCTGCTTAAAAAAAAAAAAAAAAAAACTCAAAGCAACAAAGTTGTGAGTTTGACATGAATGCATTTTTGCACTCAATGCTTTGTAAATGTAGTGAGATGTGTTAAATTTACCACATAAGCCATTATTGCAAAGGCATCTGTGTCTGTGTGTGTGTGTGTTTGCGTGTGTGTGTGTGTGTGTGTGTGGGCTGAAGTGGAGAGGAGTGGTGACCAGTGAAGAGGGACATCATCACCCACTCAAAAACTAACACAATCCTTTCTGACTCACAGTTTTTGCACTTACTTTTTCTCACATATTTTTTTGCACTCAATGACATACGTGGACTCAAACCCAACTGCACTCATGCATATGACCACATCCACATCTTCATTTAAGTAAACAACAAAAGACAGCATTTAAACTTGGTCCAGAGACAACAAACAAATAGCGACCAACTGTCAGACATGGTCCAGGGATAGAAATGGATGAACATGAAAAAGCACAATAGCAAAACAAACATATCTAATAGCAACATCAAAAGGTGACTGTACTTTCAATCTGAGGTAAACTCTCTATGGCTAAACAAAAGATAACTTCAACCATGCCTGATAGTTCCATGCCATGGCCTCCTTTCACATACCCCTTTCCAACAACAAGTTCTGTTCCGGCTCTCCTACCTAATTTTAAACCGTTCACATCAATACAAATCCAAAATAAATTGGTTTGGAATTTGAAGACTTGGTTCCCAGCTGGGACCAAAAAATAGCAGGTATTCCTTGACCTGAACTGCACACTGTGAAGACAGTCATTGGGTGTGTCATATTCTACAGGTTGGAAAGAGAGGATGGTGTTTTGCACATAAGTCTTCTACATCTTCTTAACTTCAGTATTTGGCTTTTTGGTTTTTTGGTTAAAAACGAACATCTGTTACCAACAACAGCTCACAGATAATACCTCTGGGTCTGCCCCCAGAGGCTGTATTCGGTGTCTGCCGGAAGTCAGACGCCGAATACAGCCTCTGGGGGCAGACCCCCGATTTTTTTGGCATTCCGGTTTGATTTGGGCGGAGGAGGCGAATTTCCGTTTCTGACTTCCGTTTATATATAAGTAAATATGCTGAACCATTGCGATGGATTCAGAGTCTGCAGTGACGCCAATTATGTTCCGCCTCGTTAGTTCACCGCACGGACCATTTAACCTGGCAACAACTGCAGCCGGCTCAAACGTGATTGGTCAATATCACGCGGACTACAAACAGCCTACAACCGGAAACCAGGGCTCTTCTGCTCTTCTTCTGGAGGCAAGATCTCTGGGGTTTGCATACAGACTCTACATTCACTGAATGTAGAGTCTGTATATAGAGACTAGTCATAAATCAGTTTGGGTTATTTTAGACGATTGGTTAGAATTTCTTGTCTCTGTCTTAATAAATTAACATATAAAAATATCTACCCAAGGGTCAGACTGGCTTTGTTGCACCAGAAAATTGGTAATAGATGAAATTATAATGTCTTCTCTTTCTCCTCTCCAGCTTTATAATAATCAGAGAGCTTTAATTCATGTATCTGTGTAGTAAAATGTTGCACAAATGCATTCCTGCCAATTAAATGAAAGCTACAATGCCAGTGAGTGTTTTTCTTAAGCTGGACTATGTGCTCACTGGTTAGGATTGCTATAATGAACACAAACACACGCAGAGATAAGTATGTATTCTGTATGCAAAGCTTCTTTCCTTGCAGTGACTTCTTGGAATCAAGACCAAAGAAGAAAAGTATTCAAAACAACAAAATCACACAGCTGAGACTGAAATATGTTATAAAAGACAAGGTATTTGTGTATACTTAAGAGCAAAGTATCGTTTGAAAAATTTTATTTATACCATGTATGTGTACCCACGGAAGAGAATAGAAAAGAAGAATAGAAGTAATCAGGAGAAGGTAAATGAAATACAAGGTTGTGTGTATGCATGTTTGTTATGTATGCCACATCTGTTCCCACTCTAAATCTAACTACAAAAACTGAGTATAATCATAGCTTGAGTACAGACATTGGACAAGTGATGAGATGGCATCTACAGTCGGGTCCATAATTATTTGGACAATGATACAGCTGTCGTCATTTTGGCTCTGTACACCACCACAATGGGTTTTAAATGAAACAATGAATACCTGCTTAAAGTGCAGACTCTCAGCTTTCATTTAAGGCTTTTTTCAAAAATGTAGTATGAACCGTGTTGGAATGACAACCATTTCTTCACACAGTCCCCCAACTTTAAGGGCTCATAAGTATTTGGACAAACTAACATAATCATCAATTAAACAGTCAGTTTTAATACTTGGTTGCAAATCCTTTACAGTCAATGACTGCCTGAAGTGTTGGACACATAGGCATCATCAGATGCTGGGTTTCTTCCCTGGTGATGCTCTGCCAGCCCTTTACTGCAGCCGTCTGCACTTCCTGCTTGTGTTTTGGGTGTTTTGCCCTCAGTTTTGGCTTCAGCAAGAGAAACGCATGCTCAATTGGATTCAGGTCAGATGATATGACTTGGCCATTGCAGAACATTCCACTTCTTTGCCTTAAAAATGTCTTTGGTTGCTTTTGCAGTATGCTTCAGGTCATTGTCCAACTGCACTGTGAAGCATCGTCAGATTAATCAACTGGAACTTTTTTATTCAGTAACACTTTTATCAACCTTGATGAATGGAAAGAACATAACAGAGAGGCTTTCATTTTGTTGCATCAACAAACCAACTTACGCCAAGTCGCAAACTCACTGAGGTGAAGTTTTGCAGTAACGACCATATGAGCAGTGGATTAGTATGTTTTTAGATAAGCAGTACATTACTTGTATCTGTCTTTTCCCTTTTTCTTTCCTTGTCATTGACTGCATTAAAACATGATGTACGGTAGCTACCTCCTAAGAACGACAGAGAGCCGCTGCTTTGTGTGCAGCTGAGAGGCAGATAGTGCGGTAGTGCAGATATTGCTTATCTATCTATCTATCTACAGTTCAGCTCAGTTCGGTACACTTTTTTCCCGTTTCCACTGTGAAAAGCTGTGGATGGTACCAATGGAACCGTTCCATACCGTCCCCATCTTTAGTCACCCCTCTGTTGGGGTAACTAGCACACAGATCTGGTACTAAAAGGTCGAGCTGTGAACGCTGCAGTCCACTGATTGGTCAATAGAAGATGGTCACTCTGCTCAGGGCCAAGTTGTGGCTGGTTTTTATGCTGATGTAACCACTGTTCATACCGTGGAGAGTTCTATTAGTAAACTGTGACTATGAAGTGAAAGGATGTTTTGCTGGGTCTCACAGCAGATGGGAGTCAGAGAAAAAATAACTTCATTCACTACTGCCAGCGACTTTAAAGGTGGAACTGACAACCTGAATAAATCAACACACCTTAAGTTTCACCTTAACAACTTTGACCGTTACTTTAGTACTTAAGAGTGGATTACTTTAGTAATGAGTGGATCTTCAAGTGTTTATATATGTAAGACTATATTATATAATACTATGTTATATATGACTATGTTATGTAAACTGCATATATCCCAGTCCTCCCTCACACACTGAGAAAAAAAAAAGCATTACAAAGCGTCATTCCTGTGAGCTCCAGCAACACTAAACCCCCAAGCTTCCCATAGAAGGACTAGTCTGAGTGGGCGGAAGTTCGCTGCATAGATCAGCCTCTCATTGGGCGGAACGAGCCACCCGCTGAAGTCCCGCCCTACCACCTCCGGTTGCAGTTTTCAACACATCCTTTACTAACTTTTGCGGTGTTTGATCTTGCGGGGATGTAGCCATTTTTCTGCCATGGTTCGCGTCCTGTAGGCGATATTTTTGTGAGTGTGTTACACCAAAACCTGTTTCCCCCCAGCAATATTTTTGCAAGCGCACCGTTGCTGTGGCACCGCCCAGAACGACTGTGATTGGTTGAAAGAAATACAAGCAGCCGGGGCGTTTTTTCCTCCAATCTTAAAGTGAGAGTCAGCCCAGCCAGACCTTTCTTTTCTTGAGAAAGGTCTGATGAGCGAGACTATAGAAGGACTAAATGCACAAACCCACTATTTTTAAATATAAATGGAGATAAACTTTCACTGCAGCCTGTTAAAATTTGTTCTGAAAATGACAACGTGCAACCCCGTTCTGTGGACGATAAACGAGGTGCAGACTTCCACCTGTGTCACCGGCAATAAGGAAATACAGTGAGTGCTGGACGGAGCAGTGAGTGACAACAACCCCGCCCACATATAAGAATATATAAGGATACTGTTTGCGAAGGAAACCCTAGGGTCTAGGTACCATAGGTACCTAGGTCTGAAGGGTTACTTTTGGTTCCAAAGGTACCATATCAAAAGTGTTTGGTGAAAACAGGGCTATATAAAAAGCAAGAGAAAAGAGTCAGGGAGAGCCTGAATATAGTGCAAAATTGAAAAAAAGATATCCTTCTGTTATCATGGATGCATTATGACCATTATCATGGCCAACTAATATCATTTTAAATGATAATCTTGTCATATTGCCCAAACCTAGAGGACCCTGAAGACTTATAAATCTGGAGGTAGGAGGGCTATCCAATGCCTCTGAAAAAAATCCCTGCCCCTCCACTTCTAAAAAGGCAACTGCATACATGCATACATTTACACATTTCCATAAAGACGTGTATCCCAGCCTTGTGTCCCTGTAGAGAGGCACAGGTAGGGGTGGATTGGATCAGAATGTTTAAGTCAGAATTAAGCATGGAAGGCAGAGCTTCACCAAACAACTGCATTCAGTTCCACACCGTAGCTACCATCAAACATCATTTTAGTCAAATCTTGAATAGCTATGGCAGAGGGCGACCTTGCTTTAAACTTCAGGAACTGTTTCTAAACAGCTCGCAAAAGTGCTGTATTAAGTGAAGGATAAAGCAAACAAAGTCAAGGCACTCTTTCATATGCAGCTGGAAAGCTTTTCATTATGAAGTTTACCTTACATTGGTGAGCAAAAGATTTTTCATTGTGTCCTGCGATGATTCCACAGTGTTTTTAACAGCCCTCAGCGGTATTTCTTGCAACTCCATTTTGTTAGTGTGAGACAGTAAAGAAGTGGCTGAATATAGAAAAAGCCTCATCTCAAGGAGTGTTACACTAGGCCTTTCCTAAATTACCAACTGAATGGAGAGCAGGCTTTTACAATATCCATCTATCCAATAGCTCCTAAATTTCTTCAAGATTTGAGCACAATCAGACGGGGTACAAGTCCACAGTCTAAGTTGGGCTCAAACTTTTCACTACAGATATAAAATAATTTTGAACCCCTGCAGAGACATGAGTTTATGCATATTCATGGTATTTTCTCTTTATTTGACAAAATGCTTTGACCAACAAATAAGCACTTTCCTTAACAGCTGCTGGATGTCTTGATTAATTCTCTCACATTAACCCTACGTATAAAAGCAATTATAGGATCAACATGCTCCACCAACTGTCAATATAAAACAAAAAAACAAACATTAATTTCCCTGAAGAGTAAATTGGGGTTCTTTTGCTTTTGTCACAACTTGCTCTTGTTTTACTGTTTTATTGTTTTTATTGTTTGTCTTATGTTTTTATTTTTGTACAGCACTTTGTTTCAGCTGTGGTTGTTTTTAAAGTGCTCTATAAATAAAGTTGAGTTGAGAGTTGAGTTGAGAAAGTTTATTTGGACCATTTCTGCGATTGTTGTAAGCTGGCACAAACCGCATTAATCTGCGTGTCCTTGAATTATCCCACGGGTGGGGTGCTTCTGTGTTGGTGTTGTATTGTTGTGTATGTTTCATTTTGTCTGATCTGGCTGTGAAGGGTGTGAGGCATGGGTGAAGGACTTTGTTCATGATGATATATTTGTATTGTGTTGTTTGTTTTGGAAGAGAATAAATAGACTAAGTAAAACCATAAAGGAGCGTGCAATGATATCGGAGTGGAATATTTACAAACTTTAAAATATAAGATCTATTCTAGCCTCTTTTGAATTGTTAATCGCAAGGACTAACAACTACCAAGGGAAATTTTATGAAGTCTGGTCTGCTTTTTTGAAGTACATAAAAAAAGAAACATAAAGAAATGAGGAGATTTGTGCTGCCTGGACGAAAAGATATTCATTTGTTTATCCTATACTTGGAACATTTTTTCTATTCTATTTATTTATTTTGACTAGTGCCCAGATTTGTTCTGTTTCTCATATACTCTACGCTGTATGTTGATTCATATTGCATTATTTTGTTTATGTGGTGGATAATTTAATATAAAAAAACTTGGTCTATTCTGCAGAATAGCTGAAGGTGCTATGAATTCTTTTTTACCCTAACTCTGAAAGTAAATATTGTCAAGTAGAGATTGCTGTCACAAGGGGAGTAAGCAAAGTCCTGTTAGTCAATCCCTCAACAAAAATGTAATGAAGACTGATAAAATGAATGCTACACTTGTTTTTTCTGTTCAAGGTTAAAATGCGCACAGTCAAAAATCCCTGTAACAGATTTCTACAACAGAGTAACTTTTTCTTCAACACATGGACATTCTCTTAAATTTAATTAAATTAAAATTTATTTACCTTTAATGTTCTAGTGGGAGCCCAGCCTGTGCCATCAATAGAGTGTTCCCGCAATAAGCTGAAATTCAGAAAAAAAAGAGGGAGAGAAACACATTTACAATACTGGTATATTTTCTAAGGCACTTTGAGTGAGCTCACCATTGTATGTTTTTGCCCTCGCACAATGCCAGAGGTGTTCCCAAAGGTAACAAACCACTGTTTAAAACATCAACAAACATATAACATTTGAGAATGTGATTGGCTGCGCTGTTAAAAGGTTTGCCCATTAAATTCCAGGGAACGTGAGTGAGGGTGGATGTCAAACTATAGGAATACTGTTTAATTGGGTGTTGTGATAATTTTCTTAGCAAGAAGAACAATAATGCCACATAAGACAAAATGCAGCTTGAAAGAAGGTGAAGGCATTATTACCTCAAACAGATCTCTCCATTCTCTGTGATGTTGGGATGCCATATTCTGGTCAGACATCTCACTTTAGGAGGCTGGAGATAAACATGGAGCAAGAAAGGGGAGAGAGGAAGTGACATGTTTTATTTACGTTATCATTTCATTTAATTTTTAAACAAACTCTGACCAATATACACTAGTCAGAGATGATAATACATGTTTTTGCGGAAGGTGCAAACTGAGACAACTCCATGCTTTTGCTGCTGTGGCAAAATAATGTGTGTTACTAGCTGATCTTTTTTGTCTTAGATCTTCATTGGTCACCACAGCATCAAGTGTAAATATTATGGAGTGATGTATATATAAAGACATTTTGCTCCTACTGTAACACAGTTTATTAATTAACACTTAGATTTTCAAATGTACTTTTTAGATTTACATTTAAGGTTTAAACAGCCCTTTTAAAATTAGCATGAAGGTTTGCAATCATCATACCAATGAAAGATCCTCAATGACTCTGCAAGGTTACATATATATGTATATGTACATGTAGATATTTGTAAAACACTCTCCAAACTAATTCATCTTCTAACCGCTTCATCCTCTTGAGGGTCGCGGGGGGGGCTGGAGCCTATCCCAGCTGACATTGGGTGAGAGGCAGGGTACACCCTGGACAGGTCGCCAGACCTGGCAGGGCTGACACATCGAGACAAACAACCATTCACGCTCACATTCACACCTACAATTTAGAGTTATCCTAGTGTTAGTGCTAGTGTTAACCTAGTCCCCAATCTGCATGTCTTTGGACCGTGGGAGGAAGCCGGAGTGCCCGGAGAGAACCCACGCTGAAACGGGGAGAACATGCAAACTCCGCACAGAAGGGCTCCCACACCCGGGATCGAACCGGCAACCCTCTTGCTGTGAGGCGACAGTGCTAACCACCACACCACCGTGCCGCCCACTCTCCAAACTAATTTATTTGTATTTTCAGTTATGTGCTAATGCTACTCAAAGCAAATCAATCAAGCCTATTTTGTTCAGTAAGGACACACACGACCCACACACAAATAGACAAATGGCCAAGAAAATGCAACAAGGCCATACATGTTTTTTTTTAATTAACTACAGTATTTGCCCCTGGTGTGATGTGGTTAAAAGGTTTTGTGTGTATTTTCCCTTTTTTCTTAGCTTTTGTGAGAGTCAAACAGACCAACTCACAAAACTTGGACCAGTGTCTACAGATGGTTTATTCAATGATATTGGTCAACATGCTTCTGTGAATCCATGTCCGCATAGAGTCTACATTCCACTGTGTTTTGGACTTTGAATCATTATTTGGGGATTTCATCATTTGCACTTCTTGTATTTATATTTTTTATTATTGCACTATATGTTTGTATCTAATCTTGTATCCTGTTCTGTACCTGTTTTTTTACTTTGTTGTTTGTTTCCCGTTTTACACCTGGACCAAGGAAACACAGTTTCATTCCCCTATGTACTGTGCTGCACTATTGATGGATGACTATAAAATCTCTCTTTTCTATCTCTTCACTTGTCCAGTTAGATTTGATAAGGCAAACATCCCACACTGTGCTTCTCCATTAACTCAGTTTCCGAGTTTGACAATTTAAAGCCAGTTTACATGCTTCAAAATATCTACACATTTAGAATTAAAAGCACGCGTTGAGTTTTTACTAATCTGAGAAGACATTTGAAAGTAATCTGTCAAGTCAGCCCAGAATGCAATGTCTGAACTGCTATGCTTGTTCTCATATATGTTTTTTTTTTTTTTTACATTACATCTGTTAGCATTAGCCTTGCATACTGCAACAGAAGAAAGAAAAAGGTAGCTGTCATTTTTCTCGACTAATTAAAGTCACATAAGCTGTTGTAAAATAACTATTATCATGTAAATTAAAAGAATTCGATTCTTTCTTCTTTCTTGGTAACACAGAAGCTATAGCAGTGATGGAGGAAAGTAAAAAGCAAGTAAATAATAATAGGAGGTTTCGGGAAAAGCAAGGAAGAAAAGGCTGTACTGACTGCCTCCATACACCACTGCCTCTAAAGTGCAATGTAGTATGTTCCTATTGTTCAAGCAATAACAATGGTTGTTTGCTCCAGTAATACTCACATAGAATAGAAAGCATGAGAACATGACCTTGGTCTTGAAGTCTTTTCACTGGATTCTATTAACGTCAGAAATCATTGAAACTCTCTTTGAAAAATGGCGTTGCCTCTCGATCTCACACCTGCTTACTTGAACCTCACTCACACAATGTGGACTCCCTCTTACTTAAGATAAAATCAGCAAGGGTCAGAGTCTAAACTTTCTCCAACAGGACTCCCTGAAATTAGAAGTCACCCAAAAATAAAAAACCCAAGACCTATCTTACATTAATTCCCTAAAACACCAGGGACGGTCTATGACTAAGAGTACAGTCTATCAACAAAACATCATAAAGGAACAGAAACTGAAGGGTGTTCTCAAGTAGCAAGAAACTGCAAACGCTTTTAAAAACGTCTTGCCTTTTTCATGAGACACTGATCAGTCTGAAATGTTTGCTCTTTTTTGTTGTTGTTGTTGTTATTTTTTCAGATGGTTTGTTCTATTGATCTGCCTGGGAACCACATGAATCTGCAAGCTCATGTTTCATTTACTCTGGCAGATACGTCTGGTCCCCCTCTGCTTTGGACAGGTTTCCAGCAGGCTGACATGGCGGGTCAATCAAAACCATGTATCTAATATGGAACATGTTTGAGATGAAGACCGTAAAGAGGAGCTCCATGGAAGCATTTTCAAAAACAACCAAGATGGCTGCAGCTGATACGGAACTTTCTCTCGCTACTGTTATCACATCTGTATTGAGCAAACCAGATGGTATATTTTCCAACAAGAACAACAGTAAACTGCATTTAAAGATTTTCTTAAGAAAAAAGATGTGTTTGCCCATTTTCCGACGGGTTTTGGCAAAAGTTCAACTTATGATATACCAGCTCATCTCTGCACGCTGGAGTCTGTTTGCATTTTTCTGTTGCTCAGGCATTTTTTTTCCCTCATCTGCCCTTGTGTGCTGTGCTTGGCTGGTGCTACAGTGATTTGCCACTACACCGGGCAAACCTAGTCACTGGTCGGTCGCTCAACGCTATGTCCCATGTTTCGATGCTTTGATTGGTTGCAGGTCTAACCGATTGCATCCAGAAGCATTTTGGTCTATGCCCGTTGATAACTCCTCTTTGAAAATGAACAGAGAGGTTTGATTAATTCACATTTGCAATTTGGTCTGGTGATGTCAGGCTACTGCTGACAGCATCAAGATAGAAATTATTCAAAACACCTTTTAACAAATAAGGAAACATTTTCTTAATTTAATTCTTTTTTTGTATAGTTAAGGGATATTATTCTCTATAAAAGCTGAAGTGATTCAAACTGTGCACATGTTTTCAGTGATTTTAATTCTGTTTGTCACACATTTTCAAGCTCTCCCCAGGTATTAATTACAGCCCACGATACCTGTCTAGTGGGTCCCTTCCAAATGGACACCTGTTGTTTCTTAGGTTTATCTGGGTCATTGCTGTTAGTGAATTCCAACAGCTCCAAGCACTTTCTGTGCTGTGTAACCATAGAGCTCAAACATTTTTTTTTTTTTGGTTAATCTGATGGATAAAAAAACAATTAAAACCACAGTCCTCACCTAAAGCCTGTATGTATGACAGAAAATCAGTGAAACGCTGTTTAGAGTCACAGAATGAACTACTGTACTGTGAGCTACAGGGAAGATTTCAACCAGGCTGTAGACCACTTTTGTCAGCTGATTTGATGTTGGGGGAGTGTGTTTACTCGGACTCACCTGTAATAAATATTCTTCATAATACTAGCAGAGTAAACGGCATTCATTCCCCTGACTCGCTTTAACAACTGCTGAGCAGTTTAACCCCATTATTGATTTAACATGATTAATACGGATAAGAAACACTTCTTAAAGAGGCGATGAACACTGAGCAATATGACTGGGATTTGTGTGAATTTTACCTTATGCCAGATATGACACTGCAATTAATATCCATCTAGATTTGCTAGAAAACTAGATTGTGATTTCACATTTTCAACAGCCAGGTGCAGCTGTCTTTCAACAAGCCAGATGATGATGTCATTGAGTTGGTTCCTCTCTGATGTCCGTCTGCTTGCTTGCCAACAGGAGTTGTTGAAGTAGACTTAGCTAACTTGGTACCGTAAACCGTGTTTTTTTACAGCTAGTGTATAAGATGTTTTGAGTAGAGTCGTGCACGAATGTACGCAAAGTCACATGGCACCCAATGGATGGGACACATGTTGCATTGCTGGTATCCACCTTATTTTCTGTTTTGACAGAAAAATTTGAGTCTGGGATTACTTATATAGATATATAATACTGGGAGAGGAGCCTTGCGAAGCTGTGAGTTGTAAACAGAGTAAGACTTCTGGTTTATTATCTAAGGTGAAGCCAACATCATCAATCAGCTGAACATAATAAGCTGATTCTGTTGCTGAGGAGGGAGCTCTTTGTTTCCAGATTCTACCAAAGAGCCAGCAAGATTTTGGTGGTGTCTCCATTTCAAGGATAACAGTCTATTATGTACACCAAGAGGAGAATGGTCGCACCAACGCCAAACCCAACTGCCCCCCTCAGCTATCTAACCTGGACACACATGGGGAAACAGGACAAATTCAAGTGACAGTCAACCCCGACAGTTTTTCTGATGACAAGTCATACTGTTTTTGTTTGTTTGTTTGTTTTCTTTCCAATACTTCATGATGCAGAAGATGCTGATATTTGACTCGGCCTCTACAGGTAGGAATGATGTTAATCATGATATAAGGTGGCTTGTGGATGTGACCACCGCTTAGGCTAATGTTAGCTATGTTAGCTGTGACATAACAATGTTAAGGTATTGTCGTAGGTGTCTCATGTTGTTGTTGTGGTCGTACAACTTGATGGAGGCAGTAGAAAAATACATATTTGGTGTGGGAAAGTGATTTCTGTCATTTGTCAACTTGACATTGACTGTAACGTTCACTTTCACTTTCGCTGCTGTTATTCTTCTCCATTGGAATAGGTCTTAACATTATAGCTGGTCTTATTGGTTCAAAATTCATAGGCAATTAATTTTTAACTTTGTCTGTGGTTGTTTATTTCTCATCATAAGTCAAACAAACTCCATCGTTTCAACACATATGTTACAAAAACATTTACAGTGGTCTGAAGTACTCAGCGCTCATTATAAACAACCAACCAAATGACGTCACCAACTAGCTTGTAGTAACATGGCTGCACTCTGCTGGCGAAAAGATGAAATACAATCTAGTTTTCCAGCTTATCTGGGTGGACAGTAAGTGTGACTGTAGTGTCATATCTTGCTTTAGGTAAAAGTGAAAGGAGCCACAGTCATATTGTTCAATGTTTCAACTCCACTTTAAACTTTCTGTCTGGTCTTACTGCTCTTCCCCAATATCAATCACAGGAGCAATTCTCCACTTGAATGCCACAAGGCCCAACTTTATGAATCCATTAACCTTTCATGATTGAATGTTTATTATTTATCATTCTGTGGCAGGCATCATAAAACTGACACAAATGACTGCATGTAGAGGAAACAATGTGTGTGTGTGGGTGTATGTGTTAAAAGAATTCTACAAAAGACAAAGATATAAGGCATACAGAGACGTGCAGGGCTACATACAGACACCAACAAAAGAAACACACACAAGCACATGCTGGCATGGTGAGATAACGCCCATCTAGCAAAAATGAATAGAAGTACAGACACTAAAGAGGTGAGCAGATTAACTTTAAATCAAAACGGCCAAGTGAAACAAAGTGATGCAGTGTTCTGCAGACCCAGAGAATAAGAAAAAACTATACTAGTACCTTGACATTCCTATATGAATTTTAATGATAGGAGATGTGGTATTGATGCCACTATGCACACATTTTAGTCAATGCCAGCAGTTGATAATCTGAGGGCTCTATTACTTTAATCTTTGCTTCATGCACAAAACAACAGGACAAAATAGAACACACCACGATTCGACACCAAATTTGGAAGGGTCGTTATTTTAACGGGGCAAAACTGGAGTCTACCTGATAATTCTGAAAACACATAGGCAGGCTCACAGACACACACAGGCAGATACACAAATGCACTTTTTAGACCAAACAATGAGATATAACTGGACTACTCACCACCATGTTATATGCTTCTGGGACATCTATTTCAAACTGAAACTTTCCACTTTGGTAGTAACCCTCATCTGGAAGAAGATGGAGGAGAAAGGTCAGTGGAGAAGGGTTTTTAATAATGAGCATGCATTTAATGACAAACATCAACTCACAAATTCCTGTGAAAAGAGGGACTTTAATCATCATCATACACTGCTGATCAGGATTTAGATATATGTCACCAAATCATCATGACCTTCCATGTGATTGAAAACTTTAAGATCATCTTTAATACAATTATCTCAACCTTTTAAACATGTTTTACACACACACTCACACACAAAAAAAGCAGATTCGTAGATTTCGACTTGAATTTCATGTTCCCACAACAGGCATTCATTAACAAGAAAGTATCATATTTCCTTCTTTAAAAATAAAAGCAAAAATAATGACCCCAGGTGTAGGAATAAGACTTCTAGAAGACCATGCTCGGACCAGAAACGACACTGCATTTAAAAGGGGCTGTGTTGCTCAAAGTACTTGTGAGCAGGTTAAATATGATTTATGAGCCAAAACTCTGGTACCAGCGTGATGCTAAAATTCTGAAAACATGATGGTACCCATAATTCTCCAGTACTGTAGGCACCAGGGATGCAATTCTTCCAGACATGACTGGGCAGCATACATACCTTCAAGTGTTCTAGTCTAATGTTCAATGCGGGAGGAATGCTTATCAGCACAGAAGAAGAACAACAACACGTGGAAGACAGCAACAAGTGCAACTGCAGTGACAGCTCCACTTATACTCATGGAAAAGAAAAGTGTTCTTCCCTGGCGCCAGCATATTTTGTTAATTCTATGCAAAGAAAGTGCCTCATCTTAACACTTTGCTACAAATGCCAGCAGCCTGACGAGTCAGTGAGCATCTACTCTAGTTGAGGACTGCATGTTTATTTTTTCCTGGTTGCCAAGACTTTAAAAATGTTCTCTTAAAACACAGGGCTGGGTACAACGCTGTGCTCATCATTGTCACTTTTTACCCAGCCACTGAATCACAGTGGAGGAGGGCTGGGACAAACAGCCCCAGTTACATCTTAAACGTAAGGCTGTTCTCACAAACTGTTTGTATGTTTTCCTATGAAAAGTAATATACCCAAAGTTGTATGCATCCCACAAATTATTTAAGGCTGCAATCATATGTCCAATGCGCTGACCGGAGTAAATGAGGCAGTGGTCCCAAGAGGTCTTTGTAAGGAAGCAGACTGAGGTGGTGGATGGGTCACAAAAATCTGGACTTTCCCTTGGAGTTGCTTGTTCAGAACTATGTGAATTTTTACGTCCTGCCATGATTCTTTTCCTAAACCTAACCACAGTAACTCTACCTGCCTAAGCCCAACCTCTATGACTTTATGTCAATCACATAACTGTACGTTAAGGACGTAACGTCATTCGTGGGGCGCTAATTCATAGGATATCATACAAACTGTTGTGCATTTTTTGTAGGGTATCATACAAACCGGCCTACGAGAATACGTTGTATATGTCCAGGGGCCGAACAACAACAATTATGGAAGAGAAATATGTTATGTTTCCTCACCCACAAAATCTCATACACCCACAAAGACTAGCACTTTGCTTTCAAGCCCAAACATCAGGGATCAATAATAAAATCTAAATTAAATGAAATGTTTAAAATTTTTAATGTATATCTATTACATGGGATTTATTGTTTCATTTTTCTTTTACCAAGGTATGGCACTGAGTTTTGAAAATTGTGGAATTTTAATGATACTGGTATCTACTACCAAATTATTGGTATTGTAACATGCCTAGTCAAATTTGAATAATATCAATCCATCTCTAAAATTGCAAGATTAACAATGTGCACAGGCACATATTTAATTGGCCAAATTCAGTATGCGACCTAATGATGCTAACCTGCGAGCAAAAGGTGAGCCACATTCAACTATTTGCTGGCTCTCCAGTGCCAACGCAGTGATCTCACTGAATTGAAAGAGGTCGTGTCTGAACTCAGAATGACAGCTAAAATCGACCAGCTCGGCCGAGATCAATAAATCTGCGACAGGAGAGTAAATGAGAGGAAGAGTTGAATCTTAGCCAAGGAAGTTTTCTCAGGAGAGCTAAGACCAAATGTGTGACCTTTCAGCCTAACCACATTCTGTAGGTCAAGCATAACACTAGCTTAATCCTCCCTCTCCATCTTGCGATGGCAGACAGTACACACACACACACACACACACACTTATCGGGGAAGACAAATATGTAGAGGGCTACACATACATGCAAGCAGAAAACATGGAAAATATACACACGACAAATTAGATGTTTCTTAGTCGACTGCTGTAACATTTGTTTGACCAGTTTATATATCCATCTACCTTTCTAAGCTGTCCAATCAATGTAACCTATCTCACCCTCCATCTCTCCATCTCTCCCTTCTAGTAGCCTTTAAAGCCAATTAAAGGCTTGTTCAGGATCTGTTTGAGAGCCGTCTTTAATTAGTGGGATAACATTTACATTTCTGCTGTGATCTTATGGGGCCACATGGTCAAAAAAGGACAGGCATAAAAACGGCTACAGCACTTTTAGGTATCAGAGTAGGAGAGGGTGTAGAAGACTTGCTGCTGAGCTTGTTAGAGCTCATACAGGTGGACTCATACTCTTAGCAAGTTCTGATAGAACCAAAAGTGAGAGAGAGATTGAGAGGAAAGGAAGGACTTGATAGTATCCAGATGTGCAGATTTTGTCTAAAGTACCTTATCGTGGATCACATACTGAAATACACTTCTACACAGTTATTTGAATGCTGCTTTGACACAGTATCAATAACACTTAAAATCGTGTTTCAGAGGAAAGGGGGTTTTACGCATGCATTCAAAATTGGAATAAAGGCAATCGGCTCACTCGCTCTCAATCTCCACTCCAGTCTTCCACTCAAACACTGAGCAATTGAGATAAAGCCTTTGTAAAAGGGCTACCTCAACCTCACCCAGCTTCCATTCACTGCAACAAAGACAGAGGTACAATTTAATTAGACCGCACAAACAGTCTCCCCTCTATTATAAATGAGAAGAGACGACGGGAGATAAACACTGTGTTATAGAGAGATACGGCTTGAGCAGCTGTCAAGTAGAGAAGAAGAAAATAAAAGAAACAGCTACACATCAAAACCAAGGGATGAATGAACAAAAGGGGAAAAGAGCAACAAACTGAAAGACAGAAGGGGGAAAGAAAGAGAGCATCTACTGACTAACAGTAGCAGTCAGAGGTCATGAATAATTCATGAGTGTCTTCAGTACACTGGAACAGTCAGCCTTTACTGTCACAAGACACTGGGCTTGCACACATGCACACTCACACACATACGTACAACGTAACAACTAAACTCCAAATCTTCTGAGAAAATAGATGCTAGAAATAATTTATTAGGGAGACACAAAGTTCAGGAAGATGCTCGCAAGTTAGTTAATGGAGGGTAGCCCAAAAAAAAAAAGTAAGACCCAAGATTCATATTTACTTCCGGCTGTACATAGAAGTTTGACTCTGTGTAGGGGATGAGTTGCCGTGCATTGTTGCTACTAAACTACGACACTAAACTACTAAAATACTACTAAAATAACCAGGAGGACACAAGCACAACACACATGTTATTACTCCAGTACCTCCTGATGTATACAGAAAAATCCCCAGTCGTATGCTGATTCGTATCAAGTTACCATGGTTACCATAACCACCCCATACACACGGGGGAAATTAGCCGTCATACCCAGAACAATTAGCATTCGTAATTACAGGGCATGATTGGTGTTGACAGATAATTACGGTCTCTGACAGACCTTTGGAAGACACAACCACAACTGTGAGCACAACAAAGACATCTTATCACAAGGAAATACCAACAAATAAGGACCTTTCTGTTTTTTGTGGTCCTGAAAAAAGTCACTGAAGTTAGAAAGTGGTCATGTGATGAGCTTTATTACCTTTTCATTTCCTTTTTTATTTTGCACAGATTTTCAGGTAGAGTGGAGGGTTGGAGGCAAGCGCAAGAAATAAAGTTTGGGAGGGGATATAGGTCCATGTCCCCTGGAAACGATGTGGGTCTTTGCCACAATACTCTCCTGGGATGCCTTTGTTAAATGTATAGTAATTTGTGCCCTATTTAAATCAATTTAATCTTGAGACAAAATCATCAGTCAGTGTGAGGGCTTGCTCCTCTCCATCGCCTGTCATGTCTCATCCTTGGCATTAATCTTTAATATATCAGAGAGGGATTGTACTGACCATACTGTCACTGTCTGGTACCATGGGGAGAGCAAAAAGATATACCATCACCACTCCACTCAAAACCAAAGCTATGAAAGTATGGTGATGTTATCCCATTATAGGAAATTCTGCAAGATAAATTATACTGAAAGGCAGCCGGGCTACTGTGAAAAGCTGTTTACTGGGGATGTAACAGTACCAAAACCACACAATATGATATTACCACAGTAAAAGTCTATACAATATTTATCATGATATTCAAAAATTAATGGAAATGATGACTTCACAAAATGTCCTGTTTTGGATAATAAATCTGATGTGAGTTTTGGCCATTTTCACGTTGGTTCTGAGCCCATCCCTTGAGAGTCTGTCTCTTTGACTCGTATAGAGTGTGCCAGTAAACCCGGAACTCCATTAGTGCTTTTAGCACTTCCGGTTCTCTTGTCTAAAAGTCAATGTTTTTTGAATGGGATTTTGGTAAAATGCCTCAAATAAGGTCTGTGGTTAACAAAAGCTTAAGCGAGTTTCAGGTTTTGTTCTACGACATAAAACACGTCAATAAATACCCTACTTGTGAATTCTGAAGCTTTTATCGTCTATCGTCTATTTGTCGTAAAAAAGGCGGTTGCTAACAAGTTGCTCAATACGACTACAAACCCTGTCGGAAACATTAAACGTCATCACCCCCGAACAGGCGAGAGTGCTGGCAGTCCGCCATTACAGCTTCTTATTTAGCTTAAACAGTCCGATCTCCCCATTATACAATGTTTTTAAAATAAAGCAGCCGAAATCAGTTGAAAGCTTAGTG